TTTCTTGACATAAACGCCATTTGTAGTCACCGTGGTGTTTTTCTCCTCTAAGGCAATGAAAAATTTAGATAACCTGTTGCATAAACAGAAACCTTCCAGGCGCAGTTTTGACCGGTTGATGTGGTTGAGTAAATGAATAAGAACTAACAGTGCCTCAAATACAGTGGTCCTTGTAAAACCAGCATTCTTTGCTCGGTTTTTTTTTTCTTAAAATGCTTTTTTAGTTCCCAAAACTCAATAATCTGTGCTTCCCGGGCAAGAAAACATTCAATAATCTTGATTCACATTTTCTCGAGAAAAGGACCAAAGCGTTGAATATCTATATGATGGTATGCTTTTTGTGACACTTTATCGCTATCAGCTTTGTAAAGTTGCAACATTTTGTTGAGTTTATACTGGGATTTTACGTTTTGGTTAATTTATCAAGGCATTCTTTACCCGCTATTAAACTGTTAATGTAAAGCGTTTTTGTAGCTCTTTTATTCAGAGTATATTGAAACCGACAGTTCTGGAAGCTAATCGGGACTTAGAAGCAATTATCTTCGATTTCCTCAGCATGAAGGATTATATTGGAGAACGCGAAGCGTTTCCTCGAAAGGTTGCTCCTTGTTTTTTATCGGAGTAAGTGCTCAAAAAGATATGTTACCTGAACAGTACTGCTGTTGCAGGTTATGAGTGCAGTATTCGAACCCATAAAAAGCAGTGTGCGAGCATTTGGAAATGCAGTAACAGCAGTGCCGGATACTGTTTACGATGGAGTGACTCGTGTTGGTGACGGCCTTAACAAAGCGGCCAAACAGATTATCAGTTTTCAGCCGCAGCATGTGTGTAAAACTTCTCTAAAATTGGTTTTTATGCGTTTTTTGCAGCTGTGCAATGCAAAAATACATATTGTCGAGGAGTTGTGTGTGTGTGTGTGTATGTATGTATGTATGTATGTATGTCTGCATATGCGTTTGTACCGATTTTTCATCTCAAAATCTAAAAAAGCTACAAGGCTGGAACTTTGGTAACTTAATCTACACAAATGTACGAGCCCCAATTCCCAAAATAGACGCTCATGCCCAGGTGGCTCCCACGTGCGGGTCCGTGCTAATTTTTTGCGGGTAAGTTGCTACCTTGGAAACCAAAAATGTTAGAAAGCTGAAACTTTGAGGGATGTTTTCTGACAGTTGTATTCTTTTACCTAGAAACATCTGACGAAAAAAAAGTGTTGTTAGCGACGAAAACCTGCGGGTAGCTGTGTAAAAAAACGTATCTTTGCAGCGGCAATCGTTGCACAGGCAATTTTTTTTTGAAACTCCTCAGTATGAAATTATTGATGTTTTTCTTGCCCACTTCGGGTGCAGAAATTACTCAGGGGCTCAAGTTTTGTGTTCGAAAAAACTGTGAATTTGTCATTCTCCTTTCTGAACCACATGAATGTCAGTGGCTGTATAGACCCAGCAGCTGAGATCAAGTTTAAGAAATTATTAATTTCTGTTAGATTTTACAGAGTGCGAGTGAGATGCAGCGAGGAGAGGATGATTCGAGTCGTGTAGCAGCTATTTATAGTGACCAGGTATCCTAATTTTCCTTTTTTTCGATACAGAAAAATTTGTTCAAAGACGTGAAAAATTATAAAAATTATACACTCCGTTTTAAAATGTTCAATTCTACGCCACGTGTTCCAGTTTGTTTAGAACTTTTCACCATTTTCCTAGCCTTAGCATTTCTGGAATCGCTCGGTTTTTTTTCAGAGCAATTTTGCACTTTTGTGGTGATCAGTTGAGAGCAGGCTTTGCTCCTTTATTTTAAAATTTTTTGCGTTTGAATTAGTCTTCGAGCCCCTTAACTCAGTTTTTCAAGTACTTTCCTATTAAAAAATTTTGTCGCTTAAGTAAAGCAGGAGTGAAGCATTTTCCTTCCGCACTGTAATGTACTGGTTGATTATATGCTTTTTCAAACATTAAACTGATATTTTAGCAGTGGATGGAAAGCATTCCACTTCGTGTTCTTGTTCTTTTGATTGGGGAAGTTTTTGGAGTGCGGGCCCGAAATGCATGGTTTCGTCGCCGATTGGTGGCGCTTTTACATCAGTTTGTTCATGCGACTATGGGTACCTCGTTGAATCGCAAAATCATCGATATAGTGCAGTGGCTGACATCAAAGCAGCAAGTGGCTCAGTACCTTATCGCATTCAGGTTTAATTTAAATTATTAGGCTTAATTTCAAGTTTTAGAACGGACACTTGTGGCGTTAGAAGATCATTTTTTGACAGCTCGGGATTTGGTCAAATAAATACCGGCACGCATCAGGGCAGCCGGTGTGATTATGCGTTTTGTACAGTTCTCCGGCGGGCGGTTACTGTTAAGAATATGCAACTCTTCAAAGTTTGGTACGTGCAAAAAACACGAAATTCCAAGTCCCCTCCATGAGAGATAGATTTTTTTAGGTACAGAAGACATTCTTCAACAGTTTTAACTTCCTGTTTTGTCTGGTTCCCTGGCCGAAAATTTCCTTGAGACACTTCTCCGTACTTAGGACGC